GGAAAGGCCATTTGCCCCTCTGAGTTCTAGACCCAGCTTCCCTTGCCTTGTCAGCAACCTGAGCCTATTGATTCATCTCTAACTGTTTTAATTTTTCCTCTTCACAGATATTCCCTGAAAATATATAAATATTCTGCTCTCTTCTACCTTAGAAAAACATCATGTCTCTGTTTGAGAAAGAAAGAGAAAAATCTTCCATTCCATCTCTTCTTTGGTCTCATTTCCTCCTTTCTCCCTCTTTCTCTCTGTTCACAAGTCAGTTTCTCACAGTGTGTTTATGCAACCTGTTTCTACTTCCTCACCTCCCACTCAATTCTCCTGAAGTGATGGTAAAATCTTTTAAAAGGATGTTGAAACTTGGAGTCTGGAAGAAGGAATAAAGGGCAAGGTTGATTTCTATTCTGAAAATGTGTTTCTGGAAAGTGTTAGTCTTCCAATGGTGAGGCACTGGTCACTCAAACGTGGAGCCTCCCTGATTCCTTTAAGTGGATATAATTTAATATGTGATCCAAGCATGTGCTATATTGTGTAAACTTTCCAGTTCTTTGGGCTCCTGACACTGGGGCATGCAGTCATCTCCCAGATCATGAGCCCTTCACCTGGGAGCATCTGCCTTCTAATCAAGCCTATTCTAGTTAAGGTCAGTCCCTCTGTATCCTTCCAATCAATATCCATCCTTGGAATACAGAGAGGACTGAGCTGTCAACAAGGACCAATGAGTATCTGTAATAAAAAAGGTTACAAAGGCAAAAAAACCCCAAAACACAGAGATGTGTTTTTTTCCCCTATGCTCTCTGTTCATTATGTTTCTTCTTTCTCCTGTTTCAAATCTTTATAATGATGAGAGGCCAAGGGCAGAAGAAGCTCTTGACATCATCTAGACATTGTCCACCTGGGAAAATCTCCTGGGAACATCTGAAATGCCACACCTGACTATCTCAGAAAATCAAAGGTAGTACTTGTGGTAAACAGCACAAAACTCTGCCACATCCAAGAACTTGTTTGATTTTCTTAATAGTTTTATAAAGCAAGGGCCATTACTGAGTCTACCAAAATACAAAGACTGAAGTTCATGCGGTAAGGCTAGGGGTCAGGGTAGGGGTCAGCAAGCAGCATCTGCTGTGTGTGGAGCCTATCATGTGTCAGAGTGGGCACCATAAAGACACTATATCATTTAACCTTCATGGCAACAAACATAGACGCCGATGTTATTTTCTTTCCTTCTTCCTCCTCTCTCTCTCTCTCTCTCTCTCTCTCTCTCTCTCTCTCTCTCTCTCTCTCTCTTTCCTTAAAAAAGAGTAGTGTGCCATACTAGACAAGGCTGTATCTTGCTCTTAATGAGTAAATGGACAACCTTTTGAAGATATCTATGCTTCAGCTTGCCATCTATAATATGAAGGCTAGACTGAACAAGCTGAAAAGTCCATTGCAAATGACCTCTTTCACACCTAGTAATTGCCAAACATCTCCTTATAAGCTAGCCTTTGAAGCCAACATTCTGTATTGGAGCAAGAGAAAAAGAGGCCATTTCAGTTTTAGGAGTAGACATAGAGCAGAGAAAGTACTGGATTGTAGGCGGAAGTTTCTGTCCTGTCCTGTCCTGTCCTGCAGCTGTTCAGTCCCAAATAAACACACAGATCATAAACTGTTTGGCTTATTCCTCAGGCTTCTTACTATCAAACTCTTCTAACTTAAATTAACCCATGATTCTTATCTATGTTTAGCTACGTGGCTTGGTACCTTTTTTCAGTATGGCATTCTCATTTTGTTTTCTCTGCATCTGGCTGGTGACTGCATCTCTTCCTTTCCTCTTCCCAGAATTCTCCTAGTCTGGTTGCCCCACCTATACTTCATGCCTGGCTACTGGCCAATCAACATTTTATTAAACCAATATGAGTGACCAATCTTTGCAGTATACAAGAGTATTATCCCACATCACTGGATGGCCTGCAATTGCCATTTTGTTGTCTTCTCACTGTGTTGGTCTTAGTAGGTCTTTGAGACTTTTCAGACTTTGGAAATTGCAATGTTGGAATCAAATGGGAGGCCAAGAAGCAGTCTTGCTTGCAACATTTGTTAGTTGTATCCCTTTAGGAAGTTCATCAACACCGTGTGAGCATCACTTTTCTCATCTGTAAAATGAGTAGATGCCTGGAGGGCTGTGGGGAAGATGAAGCAGGAGAGGCCTATACTAACCTTCTGGATAGTGGCTGAATAATCAATTGTAGCAATTGGTCTCTCTCTTTTTTCTAAAAACTGTTTTGCTTAAGCCATTGTACAATGAAATAACCCATTTTAAGAAGATTCTTAAAAAATGGTTACAAGTCTCAGATTTGGTGTTTGTGGGGATTACTATCTAGTCCTGCTTCCTGTAAACTTCTACTCCTGTTACAGTTCCCAACGAGGCTGGAGGATGTGCAGTCTCCCATTTCCCTTGCATAAGCAAGCTGGGTGTGTAGGAGGGGTGGGGGTGTGTTTTCAGCAACAAGTGAGCAGAGCGGGTGGATCTGAGCAAGAGGCCTGACGAGTGACAACAGAGAGGGAGTGATACTGACACGATAATATTAGAGTACATAGAATAATGCACAGCTGGCAGGTCACCCAACCAGAACAGCTCCGGAGCACTGGTTGCTAAGAGCCAGATGAGCTGGGGGTTTACTCATCCTGCTAATGAAAGTGAAGAGAAAATTTGAGATTTGGGGGAATTATTTAATGAAGTCCTGTATTTACTTTTAGTCACTTTGAAGCCATTTCACATGCCAAACAAGTATGCTGAGTCTTCCTCTGTGTGAGCCTGGCTAGATCTAGGCCCTGGGCAGATGGCATTAAATCAAGCTCTTACCTTCATGAAGCTTATCTTGGATTCAACTGTCTCATTTAGGAGTTAAAGAAACTCACTAAGGACAACTCACTAATTGTCAAAAGTGACTCAAAGTGACCCATTGGCAAAGTTGATCTGAATCTGAGTCTTCTAAACACTAGATCAGGAGGTCTTCATTGACCACTGCCTTGGTTCCTTTTATGCTGGTTTAACAGGGTACCACTGATGAAGCAATTTATAATAGACAAAAGTATTAGTTCACCATCCGGAAGGCTGGCAAGTCCAAGATGGAGGAGGTGGTACTAGGCATGGACTTCTCTTTTACATTGTCTCATGGCGGAAAGTCAAAGAGAGGTTGACAGAAAACAAGATGGGAACATACTTGTCATATAATGAATTCATCCTAAAATAATGAACCCACTCCCAAGATAATGGTATCAATCCATCCTTGGACACAATAACCCTATGGTCTAAACCCTTCCTATTAGGCACCATCTCCCAACACTGCCAGATTAGGGATCAAGTGTTTAACAGATGGATTTTGGAGGAAATTTTCAAACCATAGCAACTATATTTTATGAAAGAGCCATCCATGTATAGCATATTTTAAGTATGGCTGAGATATCATTATGCCAATGAGATAAATACAGTTTCACTTTGGGAAATTCTAGATATAAGTCCATCGATGAGATTTCTTTCATTTTTAGTGTCCCAGTATTCTTACATACTGATATCCAGCTGAATGAGACTTTAGAGTATGATTGGATGTGATAGAATAAATCTAGAAGGACAACTGGGTGGTGGTGGCACATGTCTTTAATCCTAGTGCTTGGGAGGCAGAGGCAGGCAGATCTTTGTGAATTCAAAGCCAGCCTTGTCTACAAAGAGTTCCAGGTCAGGGCAGTTACAGAGAAACTTTGTCTCAAGAAAAAAGGTAGAAGAAAGACATGGTAGCACATAACTGTTGCCAGTTAACAAGATGTAGAGGTGCAGAGGTACAGGTAAAGAAAATTTTGCTTCTCTCCTCATCAATGTGGGCTCTCAATTTCCACTCAGAGAATGAGGGGGTGGAATTAGGATGATTTCAGAGTTCTCAAGATCTGTTATATGATAAATTACCCAACAATTATGCATTTTAAAAGGCCCAAATGCCCTAGGGTGCAATTCCAGAAAGTTCCTGTGGCTTCCCCATGAAATGCAAAGGTTGAAGCTCCCTTTCCTCAGTTTGCCCTGGTTCTGAAGCAGGTGGTGTCCTATTGTGGCTTACTAAACAGTTGGGTCAGTATCTATATCGGCAAGTATCTGCTCCAGGAAGACAAGGGCTCGGTGCCATCCTACCAGGTGGCATTTTTGGAGATTTTCTTTTTTTCCCATCAGAATACAACTACTTGGATGTGGGGGACTGACTTGTTTATCCCTCTGCTTCAATGCTTGTCATCAAAGCTCCAGTCGGTACAGATGTTTCGGGGTGATGGAATTAGAGAGGGAAGACTGAATACTGTACTTTTAATAGTCAATAACAAAAGGTAAAGAAGAGCCTCCATTAACAAGCTCATCAATGATGCCAGAACTGAGCATTTATAGGTAGGGAAGTTGATGCAGCTTGGATGGTTGTGTGCCCAGAAAATAACAAACCTAAGACTACCCCGTTCACCCTTCACTTCTTTCATTCATTGTGTCCTAAGGAAATTGAACACAGGTAACTTTTGACACAATTTGTCAGAACAAAATGAATTTTTAAGAATCTAAGTAGTCTTTGGACTTTGGGGTCTAATATGTGAGTTCAAATACCGCTGGGCTTCCAACCATTGAGGTGATCGATAGATACCTTCGCTGAAACCCAGCTTCTGGTGTGCAAGGTGGGAGAGATTCCACCTCTTACACTTCCCTGCCAGGCTGTTCCCACAGGGCAGGGTCATTTCAAGACCTAGGCCATGGGATCCTTCTTTTTTTGTTAACTCTTTTGAAGTAGCCTCTTGCTCAATTTGACAAGTTGAAACAGTGTGCATTCCCCTCTGGACTTTCTGTATGTACTTCCTAAAGTTGAACAAGCTTGCTCCTTACACAAATAGTTTTATGTTGGCTTGTGATTTTTGCCCTTTCTAATGCTGTAGCCTATGCTAAGGCCTAGTTCTAGTGGGTCTCAAACATGTTATTGCTACCTGCTACCACCACTGACCTTTCTCATTGCAGACACCAGTTTCAGCAAACACAGTCCAGTACAAAGATGGATGCATTCCTGGAGGACGAGGTTTCTTGAACAGTCTTTGGGTAAGCTATAGCAGCCACACACACACCGGCCAGAAAGTTAGAGCCATTAGCAACTCCAGTTGTTTGGCAGACTGGAGAAGAGTCTGAGTTATGGGGTCCATGTATCAGCACTTCTGCTTTTTGAAAGGGCAATTGCAGTGTCACAGACTTTGCACGTACACAGTGGCTTCAGTCACATCTGAATACCCTTCTCCTGACTCACTGAGTTTAGAACACCCCACACAGGAAGATGACTCGCTCTTCCAATGAGATGCGGAAAGCCCTTCTACAAAAACAATTTGAAGTGTTTAAATATCCTGTTTCTTAGGCTGCTTCTCCTCTGTCAAACCCCTTAGCTTGAATAGAGACCTTTATCCTAAAGCTAGCCTGATTGTAACATCCATTGAGCACCTTAGTGGGTTTTTATTTGTACTTGTACCAGGTATAGTACTTCATCTACCACTCAACTCCCTCTATGCTTCTGCTTTGAAAAGGACAGATGTGTCATAGCAGTGGGAGAAAACCTAATGAGCATGCTGCTTTTACAATGCACAAATATAATAAGAAGTGATGTCACTCATTGCCATGGATCAGGCATGAAGACAAGACATTGTGCATCTCTATTATGCCAGAGCCAATAGATGGGTGAAAGCGGAAGACCGAGTGGTGAGCTTCCTCTTGGCCTCAGGCAAATTACTCTGGGAGCAGGGCAGCCTAGCAACATTGAAACCAAAGGATGCTTTAGCCTGATTCTCATACTAAAATACAGAGGTAACTCTCTGCAGTCTCTGAAATCAAAGGGGTCTGTTACCTGTTACCTCTGTCCATCTACAGCTGGTATTGTACCAGCAAGGACAGGCTTTGGATCCTCAGCTCCAAAGAAAAGAAATGGAAAGAGTTAGGCATGGATGCAGACCACCAACCAAAGAGTTTGGGAGAATAGCAGTCCCTGGGCTCAGGGAAGGGATACTTAGGTAAAACTAGTAGTAAGATATTGGTGGAAGGTACCATGGTATCATGGGAAGTCTGTGACTTAGGATCTGATCAAACATACATTGTAATCCCAGTTTGGAAACCGACTCTCTGAGTGACCTTGCATAGACCACTTTACATCTTTGCTACCATCTGCAAAATAATTCCTAGAGAGGTGGCACGTGACAAACATCATCATTAAAAGACAGTCTTGGATTAGAGACCCTGATCAACCATTCCTGAACCTTAAGTTTCTTAATTTCCATACTGTGATGAAAATAATTATTTTATAGATGGGATTAGCTGAAACAGAGCAGGTTAATTGTTATCCGACAGCCCAGGAAACAGAAAACACTGCACAAACTTTTTATGACCTAGGATAGTGAGCACATAGCTTGTTGTTAGTAAAATAATAAGAAATTGGACTCTGGAGATTCTAGGGAATTAAAGCAATTATGGGATATATCAGAGCCTACTGTTGGTCGTCTAGTCTTCTTGATGCCATGCCTTATGGCATGGGTGGGTTACTGTGTTTCTTTGAACTCTGCTGGGTGGTTTGAGGAGATGAATACCGCAACTCTGAGCTAGAAAGGCAGGGCTGAGCTGCTTTACAGTCAGACACGTGATCACCCTTGCTACCTGCAGCATCATTACCATGTTCTCCCTCAACAAAGAAATAGAAGGCCAAAGAGTTTCCCCACCTGAATGTCAGTGCTGGATCAATGTTTTGAACTTGAGCAGAACTGCTAAACCATTCTTTGCACGTGTTGGAACAGGGAGATGGTGATCTCTTCTAAAGCAGTGATCAGCAAGGACCAGCCCTGTTTGATTCTGCAAAGGAGGCTAGTGGTGTACAAACTAGTTCTCCATTATAATCATCATCCTGTGGCTATAACAGATGCCATCTGCTGACCCTCTTGCTAGAGATGCTGTTTTACATGAACAATCTTACTTTTCATTTATAGACAAGAAAGGAAGTTTTAGCAAGACTGTTTAATCTTGTCAGCTAGAGAAAACGCTGAGAGTTAGGTCCCTTAAAACTCCCATCTTCATTCTGCATAAAATTACATTTCTGTTCCTGTTGTGGTTTAAGCCTAATAAATAACATATAACGAATTATGAATTGCGTACAGTGAGATTATAGTGTGAATTTTCCATCTTGATCTCTCAGCAATGATAAAAACTCTTAGTGGCTACATGTGACTAATGGGATTGATCTGCTTGTGTTGTAATTTGCATTTATATCTCCATAATTACTCAAAATTCTAATGACCAGAGCAGGAAGATGTAAATAACACCATCCCCAAGTTCATCTGTGGTTAGCATCTGTTTTTTTTTGTTTGTTTGTTTGTTTTCTTTTTTTGTTCTTTTCTTCCTTCTCATAGTCCTTTCCATTTCTTTCTCTCCTTTTTCTTTTTTTGAGAAATAGAAAGCTATTTTATTAACACGCTTTACATTTACATTCATTAACTAATCAACATGCAAAACTAAGTGCTAGATACAAACCTCTACAATATGGTTATATATGAATTACAATGGTTCATCTGTTCTGAAAACACGTCAGTGCTTATTTTAGCTCAACTATCAGTTTCTGTAATGAAAAGCATTTACACTCTAGGATTACGAACCACCTGGCAAGGCCTCTGCAGAAACTCCGTCCAGTGGCTTTCCTGTGAATACATTCTCAAAGCAGGAGGTAAGGTGGTGCTGGAAGGTGACATATTGAACCTGTGCATAGACACAGCCCTAGATACCTTGGCCATGTGGGCTTAGCCTCCTCAAGCAGTAGCCAAGGCATATGAGGTGCATGGTGCTTTGGCAGCAGCTAGACAGTGAAGACAGGAAAGGCATCGGCACCATGTCACAAGTCACTGCAGCCAACCTGGTGTGGCCAGCAATTTGCCCAGGCTGTGGCCAACAGGAGTTGGCAAAGAACCAGCCTGCTCCTTAAGCTCCCCTGAGTCCCATCACTAGCAAAAGGAAGGAAATGGAGAAACACAGGGAAATAACCGATGAACCAATTCCTACTTCTGAGATGCTGTGGGATTTCCTTGGTGTTCAGGTCACACTGAAGAGAAAGTTTCTTTTGAGAGGTGCAAGAACTTGCAGAGGCATCAGTAGACTTAAGTTACAAAATCCTACCAATCAAACGCTGTTCTCAAGCACAGACATACTAAATCCTACTTCCTCTTTTTCTAAGAGTATTTGTTGTTGCTCATTGATCTTTGATTGCAAGAAACAAACGCCAAGGCAGGCTGGGGTCTGGGGTTAGGGGTCAGGATAGGATGGCATGGCTCCCACCTGCCACAGCTCTGGCCTGAGGTGTGCGCATGGCAACACAGAGCCTACATGATATATACTTTCTCAGCTTGGGAGAAGTGGAAGACTTCTTTGGTTCGTGGGCAAACAACTTTATCATCTTGCGGGATAGAAAGCAGAGAATTGTAGCCATAGACATAGCCATTAGGCAGCATCATGGGTGGGTTGTTGTCATTCATCACGTCACCAGAGATGTTGCAGACCAGGCGGGAGTTGGCACAGTGAGCCATGGGCAGGGACTGTGCCAGCTTGTTCAGAGAGTGGCTGCACACAGGGCAGTCAGGGGCTTGGAGCTGTCGTCCTCCTTGCAGCACTGTGGTATCTTGACTGCCGAGAGCCCAGTGTGCAGGGTGAGGGTGAAGACGGAGCTGATTCCTAGCTGGTGCAGTCGGTAGTTGTCCTATCAGAACTGCTGGATCAGCATTCGCCACCAGGCTGGGTCCGGAAGGTCCTCGCATATGGGGAGATGTGTGTATCTGGTGGGAAGGCCAGCCTGCCCATGACCTGGTGGACCTCGTCCAGCTGGCTCCCTTCAGCCTGACTGAAGGGCTTTCTTGCATGTCTCACAGCATCCAGACGTTTGTTCTGAGGGACAAGTTCAATGAACTCCTAAATCCTGAGGCTGAACTCCAGGCAGTTCATCTTCCAGAGTCGGGACTTGTTATCATGGCACCATGCAAGGCAGGTGGCTATCTCACGCCTCTCCAAGGACTCCTCCACTTCTTGGGCTGTCAGGAACATCTCAATATTCACAAGGTCCTCAGTGCCACTCTGGCGAGCCAACTTCACAGCTGTGTTGTAGTAGCCGCAGCGCAGCAGATGTTCCACCATCATGTGGTCCACGTGCTTCCGTTTCCACAAGCTGATGGCTGATGGCTGGTCGCTGGTCTCTGCTGTGCTCCTTGAAGTGTTCGATCCTACGTTTGCAGAGTTTGGAACTCTCATCCTCAGCCTGGTGGACTCTACTGCCTTCCTCTTGAGAACTTCAGCTTCTCCACCACACCATCCAGCAGGCTGACCACAGAGTCCCCAGCTGGGCAACTACTCAAGGTCGTTTCAAGCTCAGATACCACCATGGTGGCATGGCTGGTCTCCTGATCTTCTGGGCATCTCGGAATCGTTTATTCAGTGTCTCATAGGACACCCTGAGGGTCAGGTATTCCTGTACCTTCAGTGTTATGGATAGCTGGGCCACCGACTCTGGCACCGCCATCTTGGGCCAGCGGAGTGGATTAGCCCCAATTATTTTTTCTGAGTCATGAGAACACTGTGCGCAGGTAAGATGACTATCAATAAAGGTGATTTTCGCCAAGCTTAACAACTGGAATTTAATCTCTAGGATTCACATATTAGAAGAAGTGAACAAATTCCTGCAAATTGTCCTATGACCCTCACATGTGCACCATGGCATGTGTATGTCCACATGTGTCTCTGGGTGTAATATGTAGATAAAGGGCAATAAAATGAACACTTAAGGAAATTAGTCCTATTTATTTAAATTTTACAATTTTAAAGATTCAATTTTCTTTTTATGTGTATGTGTGAGTGCCATGCCTGCAGGTATCCATGGAGGCCAGAAGAGGTTGTCATATCCACTGAAACGAGAGTTACAGAAAGTTGTGAGCCAAATAGATGTAGGTTTAAAAAAAGACAACAACAACAACAAAAAAAAACAAAACCAACCAAACAACAACAAAAATCCAGTCCTTTGCAAGAACAACAGAGTGCCCTCAATAAAGTCTTCAGCCTTCTCCTGTTTATTTTTTTATATATTAGAAATAATTCTCATAATTGTGAATGGCTTACTGACTGTATATGAATTTTTGAGGGTAACACAAAAGTTGGTATTATTTGTAGGAAAGTTTGCACATTGGTAGTAAAAGTGAG